TGTCAGATAAAGTGAAGTATGCATCTCAAAATATAATTGATGTATTAAAACTCAAGTGAATCTAGTTCATTTTGCAAGAAAGCTTAAAACAAATGTCACTTTCAGATTTCAATCACAACAGCATAACCTTGGCAATAATTCCTTCATAAYGTTTTATCTAGGCTATATGCTACGTTCCATTTGGATACACAATTCCAGTTCAGATTGAAAAGACAACACAACTGATACTACTACTAAATATGCTGCATTTCAGACTTAACAATGGGTGTTTGCAATCTATGAGGAAAGAGTTAAAGCACTAAACATATTCAGGGCAGGCAGTCAAATAAAGGTATTTGAATACTAGGGARCTATATTTCTTGAGTGCCTGGCAATTTTTAGGGACCCCATACCACATTAGTGGATATCAGAAAAGCTGGGATTGTGAAGAACACGGTAGGAGAAAGATTCTTCCATGACTGATATGTATCAAATCCTAGTTACACACACAATAAAGACCTTCCCAAATACTGTAACTAGTAAAGAGCTTCGAATTTTTMATGCCCTGAGAAACAACTAATATTAGTCCTTTGACAGATCCAAGCTCCTTGTTTCTTACCAATTGGATGACTTTAAGGATGAAAAAAATGTAAAYGTAAGTCCTCCAAACCAGTTGTAATATGGAAGATAAGCTCCAACGTACTTTACTGAGAGGTAAAACACACTGGACAGGGTCCCAGTATAGGTGGATAAAGCTAAGAGACTGACTAAAAAGAGGTCTCACACACCACAGCAAACCCTGCAGTTTGCTGAAGGGAGAGGTTTGCAAGAAGGAACTGTATATAGCTCTGAAGCAATGTTTGGATACTTCAGGTATCTGGATATCCACAGAGAAGACAGACCTCAACCAAGAACATTGTAAGGACTTGGAGGTTTTTTACCGCTCTGCTAAATTAGGTCTGCTCAAATAGGTCTCAAAATRTAGATGAAGGATAACAACCATAGTTTAGTAACACAGCAGATGAGAACTGCTGCAGGGAACTCAGTTGAGTACAAAAAGCAAAGACAGGTTTGTGCTGATATGGAGAGAAGAAATGAGCCTAGTTCTCTAGCTGCTTGGGGGGGGGGAAAAAAACAAGTTTAATTCCTCCAAAGGACTAAGATATCATAGAACCAAATCARAATTATACCCACTAAATACAGTATTTGCCTTGCCCATGTTACATACAACAGGTATGTAAAGTGTTGTGTTCACATATCTTGTGAGACTTTTCTTTCCTGCTCTCCACAGCCTGACAGAAATGCAGTAATTGCAGCAATACGCAGCTTTGAAAGTAAAGCTTTGAAGTAAAAGAAAAATCTTTTACTGCTTTGACGATTATCTCATTGAGGATCTCCTTTTGACTTAGTAGCTTGTCTTACAGCAAAGATGTCTGAGTACTTAAGCTCCCTGTCCTCCCTCAGTGTAGTTCATAGATTATAGGATAAGAACAAAGCAGCCTTTTCTGGAATAAATACACCATGAACCAACGTTTAACATAAATTTACCATGAATATGCCAACTAGGTTGATTGATTGTTAAAAAAATGGCCAATAGTGAAATTGCACTTAAAAGTACAAAAAGCTAAAAATGTTGAATCAGTGAAATCAAGATGATATGAGCGTCATTACAAACACACATTTATAGCCAAAAAGGTAATAAATATTATGTTTACATATCAGAAGTTGACTACAGCAGTTAGAAAAAGAAATGCAATTACATTACTACTGTGAAATGGGTMAACATCGCTGATCCCATACAGAATTTTTAAAATAGGTCTGCATTAAAAACAGACTCACTGCAAACACCTGTATTTATGCAAAGAATGCATTAGACAATTGATCTTCAATATTCCTGATATTAAATAAAAAGCACTATCACATGATTCAAAACAAGGCTGTTGATTTATTTATCTTTGGTATTTCTTGACATTCTAACTCTGTAACAGCAAACTTYATGGTGGATGAAACATAGCCTGTTCTGTCACCAGCTAATTGAGATAAACAATTTAGACCTGGTGTTCTGATTAATTCCGTACACAGTCATACGGCATGGATAAGCTTGATCTTGAAGCACATGTAACAGACAATAGCCCCTGATGATCACAAAACCTACCACAGTGAGKTCCATGCGCTTCTGTAAAAGTTAACTTCCACATTAGTGCCTCTCGCCAATCCTAGCTCATTTGAATGAGCTTGATAGTCACTTCAAAATACAACAATTCAAAAATGTCCTCATTCTCATSTATCATGCATTCGTATTTATCAGCTACATTACACTGGCACTATTTTTCTTATTTACACAGTACCTCCAAAAAAGATGTAAAAACAGCAAACAGGTTCCTAATGCATCATGTCAAAAGAACCTGGAATTCAGATCTGAAGAAATACTTATTTGTGATCAGGTTCCAAAATGGAGATGATCCTCAGATACTTGCCATCAGTCAATGACCGATTTAGACGGAGGAAGGCTTGTTACCAGTTTATTACTAYGCTGTAAAGAAGTCACAACTTGTGAGACAAGCAATAAGTGTATTCAGAATTATTACTGTGGTTTGTTCATAAACAAAACCTACAGAGCAGCTGTCAGTTACTAGAGAAGAAAAAAAGAGAACAAAGTCTAACCACACAACAGTGACACTCCCCCATACTCCAAAATTCTGATTCAGCAAACACACCTAATTACAATAACCTTCTGATACCCTTTTGTAATACTCACAGTAAAACTTTTGCTATTTTCATCTGTTATTACAGTAAAACTTAAACTGAACTTAAATGAAAAAAGCTCATATGGTTAAATGTCTCTAGTCAAACTACTTAATGATTTGTTAATTAAAAGCTTGCTGACTCCTTTACTTTTCCAGAGTATAATCAGAAGTTCTGTTCAGCATGTACACACTAAAACTGTTTGTCTTATATTTTAGCAGAAAAAAAACCACTCTCAATTAAAAAAACATCAGATATAGGACAGAGGTATTTGCAGTAGGAGTTATCACAGTGCACTTTCCCAGACCTCAATTACGTAAGCTTCCAAAGGAGCTTTCTTAGCAAGGTTCATCTCGTAAATCTTCCCACCATTTAGGACAACCATTGCATTTATATTAACTTTTGATGCAAAAAGACAGTACAGCTGTGTGAGTCAGAAAGCCTTTCCATCCCACAGCTGTACAATTCATAGTGCTACTGCAGATAAWTTATGGCAGCCACTACTCGTTATTCTTGTTAGAACAAAACCAAACACCACCAAGGCTGAAGAAACCAAAGTCCCACAAYCACTAACAGCAGCAAAAGTGTTGCCTTGTGTTTCTCTCGACTGAGCCAAAACAAACAAAACCCATGTTTTGGGGAAGRTAAAATCTGCCACTTGAGTTTCAGAACTTTCTATACTACAGCTCTTTTCCACCTTTACTGGAGAAAAAAGCAGACGAGATTTTTCGACATTACTGGAGTGGTATCAGATCAATTAGGTTTTTGACTTTTTAACTAGCTTCTGGGTTATGCAAACGATAATGAAAAACAGCAGTTTACCTACAAAAGCTGCCTACAACAGTTTACCTACAACAGATGCAAATGTGGATGTTATTTCTAATTTATTAGAGTATTTAATTGGTAAGGATTCCATTTTTTTTTAATAAATCATTTGACACTSATGTCAGCCTTAATAAAGCCAGTAGATATTGAAGTGTAAAACTGTATTGCTTTAGTGTTCTACGAGATTTATTTCTGAATATTTCACCCTAGGAAATAAATCTTACTTCAGTCAGCAGAATATTCAAGCATTAGTAAGCAATAAACTACTCCCAAAACAACTTTTTACTCAGTTTCGAGCAACATCCCAGGAAGCTCCTTTCCTGTTTACAGAGCTCACAAGAGAATACTGCTATACTCACTATCTGGATCAAGGTTTTCTTTAAAAAAAAAAAAAAAAAAAAAAAAAGGAGCACATTTATTAATAGACCATAGAAGACACACACATAAAGTTTCTATAAAAAGTGGTGTCTTTTCAAACACAAGCTATGTGCTCTGTTTTAGCTATCTGTCCATTTTCTAGGCTGCGCCACTGTAAGAGGAAAAAAAATAAACCAATTTACTTAACTCTTCAGCTCAGCTCATCCATCTTTAATTGCCAAGTGGGCAGCCTGGTCTAGGATGYAGCCAGTCAGTTCCATGTGAAACAGCTTTTAAAAGTCACCCATCCTTTAGCACTCATGAGCACAAACACCAGCTTTGTAGCTAAATCTCTAAGGTATTAAATACGCTGCTATAAACACTTAAACCCATCCCTATGAGTGTTTTCTCCTCTAYTGCAAAATGTTTTTATACATCACCTCTTTTGCAATTTTCACTTGACTCCTGTAGCTCCTGGGGATTTGGATTACCTACATGTAGACTACTTAGGCCTTATGTGATACAGCCCTGACAAAAAAGCTACACCAAACCACCTGCAAAGTGCTCAAAAGCCCTACATTGTTCACTCCTACCCAAGGCAAGGGCTACAGCTTGTGCTTTATCACATTGTTCATACAAGCAACACTCAACGATGCAGTGTTTTGACCAAACTATACYGTTAATACACAGTGCGTTAACACAGACACATTTCTGAAATTTGGTCATGATTCAGCAATAGCAAAATACAGAGAATTTGAGACGCTCATTTTATTTTCCTTATTTTCTTTGATAAAAAAGACTCAGCACATGCACCCAGGGAAACACAAGTCAGGGTAAACAGTTCGGTTCACATGAAAACTCCTTATCTATTTCAAGAAGAAAATCACCTGACCCATATACCATAGGAGTCGAGCCATTTAAGTGGGGTAAAAGAGGAAAAAGAAAACAATAATCATTCTACTTCTTTCCAAAACACTGCTCAAGTTTTCCAGGTCTGCTTCAAAAAAAGCATGCAAGAGCATCATCAGAAACAAGAAACACATGAATCAGATTAATTTAACATAACATACTAAAGAAGAATAAAAGATTCTTACCGACATATTGTTTTTGCTGTCAGGACAATTTTCATCCTTATCTGCTTGAATTTGCTCCTGACTTTCTGATTTTATAAAGTTTTCAACTGGGTCTGTATCTTTAAATTCAGCTTCTGGACCTTTCATTGCATCAGTTTCAGCTTTTACCATAACAATATCAGACATCCTCATTAGAAAAATGTATTTTAAAATTCTACAAGAAATATGGAGCCTTTAAAGAGGACAAAAAAAAAAAGAGAGGCATGACTAAATAGCTTTAAATTCATCCAAAAGTACTTACATATATACACAACTACTACTAATAAACATGATTTTATTCCACGATTCCTGTTCCCAGTACAAGATTTTTTATATTTTGTAATCACAATGAGTGAGGGGTCACCCTCTCTTTAACTATGTTTATCAAGAGGCTTATGCAACTGAGTTCTACACAAGAGAGAACTAAAAGCTACATTAYTGAACAACATTTGCAAACTTTTCTCTCTGTATTAAAAACACAGAACAATCAAACACTCCAATTAAAGTTGGATCCAACAAAATCTAGGGATGTTTTTTCTAACTGTAGAAGTGGGAGGGAATTACAGATAAGTTTATTTTAAACTGTTTGAAAGTATATAGATGAATCACAGTGCACTTAATGTGCAAGCAATTATGAATTCAATTAAACCTTTAAAGGTTCCTAAATCCAAGGTAACAATTTGGCAGGTTAATGACTGCAGGAACTACCTTATGTATCGAAAGCAAGGAAATCTGTTCATTAAAATAAAACACTAGTAAAGCACTGAAGAAACAATAGGCAATTATCATAATTTTTTTTAAGTGAACTCTAATAATTAAAGCCGCAACACTTGTGCAATTTTTCATATATACACACACACATATATAAGTGCGTGTGCGTGTATATATATAATATATATAAAGAAAATTTAAAGTCTATACCCAGTTGCAGTTCAAGATGTGAAGATAAAAACATCTTAATTCTCTGACAACATAAAGATGAAAATAAAATTTGAACACTTTAACCTCTTCATTAACAACAATAACAAAACATTATGGAAAAGTTCAAGTTCATCTGAATTATTACCTGATTTGTTCTACAGTTTGGGGATTGTGGTCTCCCACAAAAATAAAATAAAATAATCCAAAGTTTCTTTTCACAGTTGTCAACCAAGATGTCAGTTGTAATGAACCATCTGGAATCTGGCAGGAGGAGTCCCATGTCCTTATCCCTGGTGTAGAGTCCTGGACAGAACTATATTGTCTTGAGTCAATAACATCCCTTTCAAATGCCTGAGAGGGGAAAAAAAAAAAAAAGCATGACAATTTTCAAGGCTAATACGACCAGGAATAGAATTTTATGGCAAGATTAGAATAAGGAGCAGTGCTTTTAATATTATTTTTTTTTTTTTAATTTTTATTTTTAACTGCTTTTTATTCTTTCATTCTCCTTGCTTTAACTACTGGCAACAATAATATCCACCAGACTGCTAGGGTACTTCTGTATTACAAAGTTAACAAGTAGTCATAATAAACCCTCTGTTGGCATTCCTAAGCCTTGCTTTGCTTCTACAAGCAAAAAGTATCTTGCAGAGTAGTTGGAAAAGACAGTTTAAAAAGAGAGGACCAGCAGGTGTGGAGGAGTAATCTGCCATTCAGGCTCACAAAACCACTGTGAGCAGGCAACTTGTGTTATAGGTGACATTCTTATTATATTCAAATGAAGCAACTGCCTCACGTGAGAATTTACGAATATCTAGAAAAAATGCATGTTCCATTTACCCTCTTTTCCAGACTTGCCTTTCGAAGAAATAATACCATCGACCACAAGGAAGCTCGTGTTTGAAGTGCCAGACAACAACTAAAGCAAGCAAAACGTAAACCATGAACCTACCAAGAATATCCTAAAGCAAAGATCACAATTTTATCTTTTAAACTTGCAAAAGACAGGCTGAAATATTAAAAAAAAAAAAAAGAAGAAGAAAAAAAAAAGATTGCCTTTTGCATTTCCACTTTTCTGACAAGAAGGGAAGGGCTTAGGATAAATAGCACAAGCAATGTATGTTACAGCAAACATCAAGAACACCTTCTGTCTCCCAAGCTGGCAGACTTAAATTTCATGTGAACAATGGTTTCAAGAAAATAAAAATGTATATACTCTCTATAAAAGCAATAAAATATATGCTAAATAAAAAATGAACAACAGATTTGTGTGAAACAAAAGAAGCCGTGAAGACTTTTATTCCGCAGGTATATACAAGGTTTTGAACGATGTAGGTAAAGAACTAATACCAAATTATTTGCTTTTAAAATGAACTTAAAAGTTTTTAAATGGATGGACAAATCCTACAAAAACCTTAATGTCCTCAAAAAGTTGCATCTTAGCTTACAAAAATTTGAAAGCATTTAAGTATTCTGCAGTATGCAGTCACTAGAAAACAAATAAATACAAAAATTACAAAGCTTTGACAGGGTCCAAACTTTTATCAGTTTGTTTTGTGAAGGTAATAAAGGTTTTTAATATAAAATAACAGCACCAACGAATACACACACACACACACACATCACTTCCTGCGAATACCCAAAACTGAAGATGGGAAGTAGGTTGGTGGGAGTAGGGGGGAGAAAATAAAACACACACACACACAAACACACACACACACACACACACACACACACACACAAACAACAAGAACAAAACACAACCACAAGCCATGCACACCTCACAATAAACAACTCTGCAATCGCTTATATTCAGTTATTTTTTTTAAACAGAAAAAGACAACTGTTAAAACAGCACCAAGCAACATTTCCAAAGATAAATGCATACAAGCAACACAATACTGAATCCCAARGAAAATTGCAGAAGAAATTTGTGTAGGAAGAACTTAAAGTTATCCTTTCAGTGTGTGGCAGCTAACTCCTTCTTAAGTGCTAGAAGATCTTTACTCATCAGAAATGACTSCAGATCTGAAACATACACCTTGAGGATCACACTGAACTACTCCCTCCCTCAGCATACCAAGATCACAGTGACATAAAATAGCAGCACASTGACCCACAGACTTCCCGGTTTACTTGTAAACGGGATTAAGTCTCAAACAGTAATTTTTTTGAACCAAACAAATACACAGCTTGGTAARAGAAGAAAGATACTACAGACATAAGAAACCTCGCACTGAAAAGTAGGGGAAAAAATGCAAGGAAAGTAGGCTGTGGTTCAAGACCATAGTAAAAGTTTTTCAAAACACCTTTTTCACTGAATCATTAAGGAGGAGGGGAGTAAAGATGAAGTAACAAATTGGAAGTAAGAAATGTACAGAACTGCAGTGCTGTTTGGTTTATTTCCCAAGAAGATCCAGGTGACAGTTTAAGCTGGTATTACACTTCATTGTCAGCAAGACTTGGAAACACTGCTTGACTGATATTTTGATTACTGATATTTGCATTGTACACAGAGGAAGCTCTTTAAAAACGCTGASCAAAGACATAGGGGGGAAAAATATGCAAGTCTAGTTGTACAACTTCAAGGACCTTAACATAAGCAAAAACYCTTAAAATTGTTTTTGATTGCTTTTTGAATGACAAGTCACAAATGTACATATGTTCAGAAAATCTTGAAGACTTAATTCAAACTGATCAAGAGTTACAGACCTTTTTACCATCATCTTAAAAAAAAAAAATACATTCTCAGTTTAGCTGATGACTGCAAACACACACTTGCCTACGCTAATTAAAAAGTGTTCTTCCATTCTAGAAAACTGCTGCACAGAAATAATATCCTTYGTTTTGGAAAAGAACACCTATAAAACAGTCTCAAAACTATGAGCAAATCATTTTGTGTACAGATCTAAAGGCTGCGCATGTTGTACTGCAGAAGGTACAATCAATATGACAAATCAAAGAACAGCCATGCAGTTTCAATTCATATGAAACAATGAATAATGTGTTTTGGATTTTTCTTTTTCTGAATCAATTGGAATTACCATATGCACACCCACAGGTAAATTATACACTGAGCCACTGATCAACAGCAAAATATACAAAAAGGTGCATCTTTGCTGCTTGAAAAATATTTTCTGAGTAATAAGGACCACTGATTACTGTAATATWATCTTGTGGTTTGAGGGACACAATTATTACTACTCAGAAAATGTTCTATGCYTCAATCTTCTACTTGAGGCAATTCTTATAGCCAAGACAATTCTTGTTTCCTAGCTTACACAGACTGAGCGAAGTATGTGCTGATTTCCTTCAAAACTCAGCACTGGTCACAGACTGGAKAGCAATGTGGTTTAGCTGATTTCAAAATAGAAGAGATGATATCTCTACCCTAGAATTATCCAAAACTTTTTAAGGTTTTGATTTGAACATTGAAGGGCAGAACACTAGCAAGTCACACAAGGACAGCTGCATTGATTATTTACCTGAATTGAATTAACAGCAACAGGTCTCACCAAAAATAGCTTTCAGTCTTAACATCTTTTGCTGATGATCATTATAGACTCCTGCTTCAATAGGCAGGAAGTACGATGACATCTATTGCAGGACTTCAGACAGTTGGTAAGGGAGGAAAACAATATTTTATATTTATGTCCTTCAACCTTTGGGATAGCTGTCCCTACCTAAATACTTATCACTGAAAAAACTGTCATTTGCAAACCAAGTAAAATGACTTGCAATGAGTGGGGGGTATTTCTGGGAATAGGATCTAGTAAACTTAATCCAATTTCTGTAATAAGTATCAAGACCTACATATCTCTCTTGTTGTAAATGCAGATAGGAAGCTTTACTTTGCCTACAAAGAAATTGATTCTTTTTCTTTTAAAGGGAACATCAAAAACAGAAGCGGATTTCTCTTTCTTTGTTAAAGCTATTATTCATACCATCATTCAGGAAAAGATCGTAGAACAGCTGTCCAAACAACTGGTATCAATCAAATTCAGGGCAGGAAATTGGATTAGAAAGGTGGGCGTGGAAATCTATATCCAACACAAAGCAGAAACTGTCAATAAGGTGGTAAGATGAGAGCATCTTTATAAAAGAGACTTCTGTTCACCAGATATCTGAACAGATTCTTGCACATGTCTAAACATTATCCCCCGCTCTGGTAGTATTTATCTTTTACTGGACTTGTAAGTGGTTCACCCCCTAATCTGACAGTCAAAAGTCACTGCTGGTACTAAGGCCCCCAAATCAGCCTCGTTATAAGTTGCTCAGGAATCACCAAACTGTGTGCAGCCATTTATCGTGTCTCAATCCCCCTTAGATTTGATCTTCATGCTCATAAAACTGTACTTACCTTTAAAAAATTACTTTATTACCCTAGTATCAAAGCTCAATTATCCATCTTTATTATTCCTGAAATCAAAACCCTGAAGTTTACATGAAACTTCGGGGAAAGCCAAATGTTATACTGTAACATTTGTAGATATACTGTTATACTGTATATCTACATTAGTGCTACAAAAAGAAAGCATAAAAACATCTAATCTATTAAAATTGGAAGCCAGAATCAATAATGTTGTATACAGGTATGACAAGAACCACTCTCACCATCAGATTCAGTAAAGAGGCTGGACATGTGCTCAAACCCTAGTTTTGGAATAGCTGAAGACAGATTACATTAGTGTAACGGAAGATATTGTCAATTAGACATTTTTCTCGCTGCCTTGTACACACACATACAAGCTCACTGAAATCACACTCGTAGATGATTAGTTTCTAATTAGTAGAAACCAACCACTTTCTATTATCTTTGATTCATACATACACATGCCCTAAGTCTATGCCCGATGCAGAAAGGCATAGATTTGAATTATCTCACTCTTTCATTAAGAAAAGCTAAAGAATTATTGCATTCAGCTTCTGCTTATTTGCTGAAGACCAAAAAAACTCTGATAAACGCAAAGTGGAGGAGGAAACWGTCAATTCTGGCATGTGAGACCTATCCCCAGCAGCTGTATTGAAGAATTCACTGCTGTCAAAAAGTTTTCCTCACCATTTATTTACTGCTCTCTTTAGCCTGTAAATTTAAAGACTTTTTAAGCCACTACACAGCTTTTATCGTTATAGTAGGTGATCTTACAACTGTTCATTTAGTAGTAAAAACAATGCAACTTTCCAACTTACAAGGCATAAAAAATAGAATTATGCACGGACAGCTCTTTTCATTTTTCTAAATGCCAACATACAAATAACTCCACGCACAGGCTTCCTATGTGTTTTCTGAGTGTCTCAAATTTGAAACCATTAAACTACTCACTAGAAGTAAAGACTTCTCTGGTCTCTCTTAACTGTTGATCATGCAGGACTGATCTTAATGTTTCTGTAGCATTTAAATAAGGAAATACTCCATCTTGGAAGTACAAATAAAAATAAGCAAACCATCTGATCCGGTTAACATCTACAGACTGAAAGATACCACACAAATTAATCCACGTTGCAGTAACTTTAATACAGTTATGTAACAGATTTATGGTTTTCCTCCAATACAACCATCTACAGAGGTTTTTAAGTTACACATTAATCAGTTAACAACTGAATGCTATTTACTGCATTAGCACTGAAGATACTTATTTGATTCAATTTAGCAAGCTATTTYGCAATCTGATTTTCAATGAAATAATATGATAGTAAATCAGCATAACATCCAAAAGCATAACATACTGTTGCCCTGCCTCTTACAAAGTGAACTAAGGACAGGATGTATTCTATGATSTATGCAAAATCACCTGGACAAAAGCAGTGTTAAGGTTACTATATTTGTTGACTTATTTGAGAAATCTCTCTCCAAYGGAAATTCAGAAAGCAGAAAGAAAAAAAACTCAGAATTGTGATCCTGATAAAGGCTCACATAAACATGCTTTAGTTAATCTTGTTCCACTGGTTACACAAGGTTATCTCCTCCCTTACTTATCTCTGCTGTCTCCTCTATCAGAGCTACTACTCCAGCAGCAAATGTTGGCAGAAGAGATGTTTACACCTCAAGCACTCGTGCTTGGCCTTGCATCTCAGTTCACAGAGACCTTCAGAGTCTGCTTACCCCAAGATACTGGGCTTCACACTTGTGTGATCAAGATGTTGTTGACTTCTTGGCAAAGTCAGCACATCTGAAGGGTAAGGCAAGACAGAAAGAGCCACCATCTTAAATAACTGCAATAAGATCCATCAGGAGTTAACTGTCAAACATCTGGTATCTTGATAATCTGTAAAAGCATGAGCATTAAACCACACTACTTCATGGTCAGCTGGAACACTGGATCTTCTGGGGCTGCTCCACTGCAGACAAAGTGCAGGTATCAATTCTCTTATTGCACTTTGCTTTGCGCTTTCAGACCATGAGCAATCAGACCAAAGCACATTAAAGGAAATGAACAACTTCACCTGGCTTCCTCACAGTGAAGGAAACTGTGTTAAGGWTATAATCACTGCTAGAAGTGGAAGATGAGAAAGACCTTCCCCTACGGCTGCTTTTTCCACAGTGCCACCCTCCCTACTATCAGATTTAACAGGCTTAGTTTTTTTCTTGTAGACCACCAAAATATGCACTTTTTGTGTTAAAAAGAAAAAARGGCAGATAACTAAGGCCTGTGTACTAAGATGCTGTCTAAAATACACAATCTTTGTTTTGACTAGGGGAACAACACAACATCAGTAATAGAGCTCCTTCTTCTGACAGACCAGGACAGATGAAAGATTATGTTGAGGGCCCTAGATGCTAAAGATTATGAATCATGCTGAAGATTATGAATGCCATCAAAAATGTTAGGGAGCAAGAGATTAAAAACATAATGCACATTTTATTTTCCCCAAAAAGAAATCTGACACCACAAACCGACAACACACATTCAGTTTCCATGGGCTGATAACAAYACTTTCATCTGTATTATCAGATTAGACGCAAATATATCTCAGCTGGTATTTTTTCTTTCTTTGGTTTTATATAAAAGCTATTGATTATTCTAATTAGATATGCTGATATGCAAAAACCTGACTTGCTATTTATAGCTTAATAACTTAAGAAAAAGCAAAAAACATACAGTCCTTTGATAGTGTATTTTTGTACAGTCTGTATTAAAGCTGTAACAGTTCTGATGGTAGATTTGTCAGTGCCYAATTTGTTTTTAAAAAGCAAATGACCTTCATCTTGATGAAATCAACTGTCATGATAAGCACCCACTCCTGCCAAAAAACATACACACGAAAACACAAAAAATGCACTCAAAGGGAAATTGATTGACAATACAAAAAAAGTGTCCTGCCTAAGAAAAAAAGCAAAAAAAAAAAAAACCAAAACAAAAAATAACCCACCACACATTCTATGCAACTTGCAGTAAAAAAACATGCATCTTGAAGGCTATTCTTCAGTTCAAAACATCTTATTGTCTTTAAAGAAGGTTTTTAAATCTAAACTATATTTCCTTGTTAGAATGTAGATAATAAACACTATCAAGAAATAAAATTCCCTCTGTTTTTGCAACCTAAGCAATTTGTCTTGTCTTAGCATAACAATTTACGATGKTTTCCCCAATGCTACAATTATTCAGTAAAACACCTTTATTAAACCAGGTAAGAGAAAAGCACTATTTTTAAAAACGTTATTAAATAAAGATTTAAGTACGATGATCTTTCTGCTAATTGATTAGGCTTAAAATGGCTTTGGTGAAGGAAAAATGCAATTAAATCTGTCTACGGATGTTATATCCTCAAAATGGAATATTTAAATAATAATCTGAAAACAGAATTCACACACCTMCACCACACTAATTCCACACAGTGCAGCAAAATGACTGAAGATGTGCTTTCCATAATACCTCAGACAGGCTCTGTGCTACTGCTTTACTGCACAGACACACCGAGCTGATCACTCGGGCACTAGTAGGGCTCTGCTCAGGCAGACAGCTGAGGCACTTGTTGAAGCTTCGAGACACTGAAAATCATCAGCTGGGCACCACACTGCTGCTGACCCCCAGCCAGCCACCGTAATGCGCACAGCCTTCCTAGAGCCGTTCRTTAGCAATTCCCAAGCACGGGATGCAAAAGCCTCATGAAGCTATAATTGTGCTATAAAATGGCTGTACAGGTTTTATTCACTTTGTCCACTCATGTTCTCTAAAACAGTCAGACTATTAGAGCTCTAAAATAAAAAAGATAATTGTGTGATATGCTAACTTACTTCCGAAATTCACACCACAGATCTATAGATCTCTTGTTTATGAGAAACTACCACTACCTCACATTTAGCATTGCCACGATGCTCAACGGAATAATTCGCAGATTACACTACAGAAGAATAATCCTCACTTTTATAGTTTTCTAACAACCCCTCTGAAGAATCATGCATTCAAGTAAGGTTAGCATGGGGCACCATTTCTCATTTGGAGGTGAGGGTAGGATCTTAGAAGGCCAACTACCCTGATAAATAGATGATCAAGACATATATTTTTGTGTGACAAGGGAAAACTAGAAGAGCTCTTTTGCTACCAAGACTGCTCAGTCCATGATGCTTCTAAATCCTCCTGTATTTATTTTTCTCTTCATCTCTTCCCTTCTGGGCTGCATCTTCAAATCCTCCAAACCACGTGGCTGCAAARGGCAGCAGAGTACACTCCATGCATCTCAGCTGCCATGCATCTGCTGTGTGAACCAGCACATAGTTCACACAGCAGCTATTTCTTTCATTCAGCTCCAGGTCATAGCTTCATGTAGGCGGACTATATGTTTTTGATCTTGATAATGCCTATACAGGACTCATCAAGACATTTGATTAGTTAAAAGGTATGCTTTCTAGTAGCAGATTTTATTACAGTGCGAGATGAGGAAAGAAGTGACAGGGAAATGAATTAGAAAGGAAAAGTGGAGAGATAGCAGCAGTCTGTGATGGAATATCTCAAAACGTAGCCCTAGTTATCATAACTGCAAAAGGACAACATTTCTTCACATGGAAGTTTGCTTACAAGCACTATGATGAAACTGCAGAAAAACCACTGATGTTAACAATGATCAATGTTTCTCTTTAAGTGATGGGAAAGAATTTCAAGTTTAATAATAAAACAGTCTTGGGAGTTTCTGTGCTCCATATTAAGAGGGTAAACAGAAAAACAGAGGTTGTGCAGAAAATAAGTTACCCAAACTGCATAGATGGTCATTTGATGTAGTGTCTACAACTCTATGCGTGTCTTTATAAAGAGATTATGCCAAACTTAGCCATGTGCAAAAGAATATAAAAGCAACTCATTAGAACGTGTGGGGTAGGAAAATAATTTGAACTGAATGTACAGTAAAAATAATGTCTGTAAGACTTCTAAGACAACATGCAGAATGAATATGCYTATGATGAATTAGAAACCTTCTATCCTGGGAACAGCAATTGGAGTGCTCAGTGCTTTTAAGTGCACTAGTGACTTTSAGCTAGTTGATCTTCAGCTAGAAGCTTATTTTATGTTTTAAGTGCTATCAAACACCCAATTACATATGTTAAAAGACTATCTGACAAAATAGGCATTTTAATCTCAGAAACATAATCAGCGTTCCAATTCAATTTAAATTTAAAGCAATACAAAAACACAAACA